ATGCAATGCAACACATAAACCGGTACTCTCCAGTACCCGCTGCGGCGTGCAGCCCGCTCCATTTATTTATCGTCGACGGCGCTCACTGGGGGTGTGTAGACTCCGGGAGGGGCCCCTTACGGCCCAAGCGCAATAATAAGCCATATCGTGGCATCAAACAGGCCCTTGGCCTCATATCAATATCATTATCATATCACTGTGGCGTGCAACCCGATCCCATACTCAGTCCAAAATCACATGCCTTTCGGCACAATAGTATAAAAATATTCAGCCCAAACTTCATTTAAAAATATTACTTTAGTTTCTACTTTTAGAAAAATGGCTGAGTTTACAAGACAGTGTTAAATACCAGGACTGAGTTCAATATCTATAAATATGGTAAGAAACCAGTAAAATAATCCCTGAAGGATTCCAGTAGTTGGCACGAAGCCCAATTATGACAATTAGTCCATTTTTATAAGGATATTACAAATCTACAATCAATAGGTGGTAATTTTATTAAGCGGGACGGACCAAGTCATAATCCCCGACGGTGCTCTACCCCATGCTCGTTATCCGGCGTGCAAGTCACCTCACATAGCACTACATTGTGCAAATTCGGGGTTTCGAACCCTCAACACAGCATTTATATTTATTACTAATCTCAAGCTGGTCAAAGTCCTAGCTTGCTATGCCTTTGCCTTTCGAATTAACCTCCTTGTGTGTCGAATCTGATCAAAATCATAATGAATACGTCACAATATGCTAATGGGACAATACTCAATCGAAAACAATCGAAAATAGTGAAATTCCCGAAATTAGTAAAAACCCGAGCCCCGGGCCCACTTCTTGAAAGTCAGTAAATTTACCATCAACGGATTCCTTATCTCGCCACGAGTCTATACATATAAAGAACACCAAAATCGGAGTCCAAATGACCCCTCAATTCCTATTTTTGCTCTCTTAGGTTTCAAGCCCTAACCTCCATTTTTGACCTTTAATTCCTTGATTTTTCAGTCTAATTTCATGTGTTTGCTTCATAAAATCGTGTTTTAGGCTTAGAAATTCTTACCTCGATGAAGTCCCTTGATTTCTCTCCTCCAACTCGCCCAAATTCTTCAAGTCCGAAGTGAAAATATGAAACCCTTTAAAAAATTTGCGAAGGGAAATAAAACCATTTCTGACCAGTTATTTCCGTATCTGCGGCTACTTAGCCGCATCTGTGACTTCCGCTTTTGCGGTTACGAGTCGCTTCTGCGGACAAACCGCTTCTGCGATGACTAGACCGCTTCTGCGATCCCGCATCTGCGATTCCTTTTACGCAGATGCGGTTTTTCCTTTAGCCTTCCAAAATTCCGCATCTGCAGTCCTACTGTCGCATTTGCGACTCCGCAGATGCGGTCGTCATCTCCGCACCTGCGATGCCTGTCGCTTCTGCGGTCCCATTTCCGCAGAAGCAAAAATACCAGAAGCAACACATGTTCTGCAATCTCCTAAGTTCAAAACTTCCCGTTAGCCATCCGAAATCACCCCGAGGTCCCCGGGACCTCAACCAAAAGCACCAGCACCTCCTATAACATCATCCCGACTTGTTCCAATCATAAAAACACCTCAAACAACACTAAAACCATCATTTCTCATCGAATTCAAGCCTATGTTCTTCCAAAACTTCCGAAACACGCATTCGATCAAAAACCTACCCAAATCACCTCCGAATGACCTGAAATTTTGCACACACATCTCAAATCACATAACGAAGCTACAACAACTCTCGGAATTCCATTCCGGCCCTCGGATCAAAATCTCACCTATCGACCGGAATTCGCCAAAATTCTAACTTTGCCAATTCAAGCCTAATTCTACTCCAGACCTCCAAACTCACTTCCGATCACACTCCTAAGTCACAAATCATCCCCCGAAGCTACCGAAATCATCGGAATTCATATCCGAGCCTTCTAACTCATAAGTCAACATCCGGTTGACTTTTTCCAAACCAAACCTNCAAACTCCGAATTCTCCGTTTAACCACCCGAATTCACCCCGAGGCCCCCGGGACCTCAACCAAAAACACCAATACATCCTAAAACCTCATTCAAACTTGTTCCCATCATCAAACCACATCAAACAACGCTAAAGCCATCAAATCACATCGAATTCAAGCCTAAGTTTCTTAAAAACTTTCGAATTACGCATTCGATCAAAAACCCGACCAAAACACCTCCGAATGACTTGAAATTTTGCACACATATCCAAAATCACCTAAAGGAGCTACTGCAACTCTCGGAATTCCATTCCGACCCTCGGATCAAAATCTCACCTATCCACCGGAATTCGCCAAAATGCCAACTTTGCCAATTCAAGCCTAATTCTACTCCGGACCTCCAAAATCACTTCCGATCGCACTCTTAAGTCACAAATCACCTCCCGAAGCTAACCGAATCACCGGAATTCACATCCGAGCCTTCTAACTAATAAGTCAACGTTCAGTTGACTTTTCCAAACCAAACCTTCCTTAAAGAGACTAAGTGTCTCATTTCCTATCCAAACCAATTCAATTCAACTCTAACTCACCCGTTGCTGATAATAAAACATGAAAGAGCAATAAATGGGGGAAACGGCGCTGTAATACATGAGACGACGGGTTGGGTCGTCACACCCTCGGCCTCATATCAATATCAATATTATACCAATGCGGCGTGAAGCCCGATCCCATACTCAGTCCAACACATAAGCCCCTCGGGCACAATAACATAAAAATATTCAGCCCAAACTTCATTTAAAAATATTATTTTAGTTTCTACTTTGAGAAAAATGGCTGAGTTTACAAAACAGTATTAAATACCAGGACTGAGTTCAATATTTATAATTATGGTAAAAAACCAGTAAAAATAATTCCTGAAGGATTATTGTAGTTGGCACAAAGCCCAATTATGACAACTAATCCATTTTTATAAGGATTTTACTAATCTACAATCAATTAGATAGTAATTTTATTAAGCGGGACGGACCAAGTCACAATCCCCGACGGTGCTCTACCCCACGCCCGTTATCCGGCGTGCAAGTCACCTCACGTAGCACTACATTGTGCAAATTCGGGGTTTCAAACCCTCAACACACATTTACATTTATTACTAACCTCAAGCCGGCCAAAGTCCTAGCTTGCTATGCCTTTGCCTTTCGAATTGACCTCCTCGCGTACCGAATCTGATCAAAATCACAACGAATACATCACAATATGCTAATGGGACAATACCGAATCGAAAACAATCGAAAAATAGCGAAAATCTCGAAATTAGCAAAAACCCGAGCCCCGGGCCCACTTCTCGAAAATCAAAAAATTTAACATCAACGAGTTCTTCATCTCGCCCCGAGTCCATGCATATAAAAATTACCAAAATCGGAGTCCAAATGACCCCTCAAATCACCATTATACCTCTCTTGAGTTTCAAGCCCTAACCTCCATTCTTAACCCTTGATTCCTTTATTTTTCAGTCTAAATTCATGTATTTACACCATAAAATCATGTTTTAAGTCCAAGAATTCATACCTGATCAAAGTCCTTGAAACCCTCTTCAAAATCGCTCAAAAACTCTCCAAGTCCGAAGTGAAATAGGTTACTCTTTCAAAAATTCGCGAAGAAGACTAATTTAATATTCTGCCCAGGCTTCTCGCTTCTGCGGTCCCGTTTTCGCTTATGCAGGACCGCTTCTGCGGTTTTTCACTTAAAGGCTTCGACCGCTTCTGCGGCCCAGAAATCGCACCAGCGGGACCGCTTCTGCGGTCCACACTTCCGCTTCTGCGGAACTTGCCCTGAGTCCAAGACTCGCTTCTGCGACTTCCTCCTCCGCTTCTGCGTGACCGCACCTGCGGTCCCATAACCGCAGGTGCGAAAATACTAGACACCAGCAGACCTTAACCATGCAAAAATTCCGAAACTCTCCGTTTAACCATCCGAACTCACCCCGAGGCCCCCGGAACCTCAACAAAAAACACAAACATGATCCAATGCCTTATTCAAACTTGCTCCAATCATCAAAACACCTCAAACAACACTAAAACTATCATTTCTCATCGAATTCAAGCCTAAGTTCTTCCAAAACTTCCGAAACACGCATTCGATCAAAAACCCAACCAAAACACCTCCGAATGACCTGAAACTTTGCACACACATCCCAAAACACCTAACGAAGCTACTGCAACTCTCGGAATTCCATTCCGACCCTCGAATCAAAATCTCACCTATCAACCGGAAATCGCCAAAATACTAACTACGCCGATTCAAGCCTAATTCTACACCGGACCTCCAAATTCACTTCCGATCACACTCCTAAGTCACAAATCACTCCCCTAAGCTAACCAAATCACCGAAAATCACATCCGAGCCTTCTAACTCATAAGTCAACATCCGGTTGACTTTTTTCCAATCCAAACCTTCCTTAAAGAGACCAAGCGTCTCATTTTCTACCAAAACCAATCCAAATCAACTCTAACACACCAATACTGATAATGAAACATGAAGAAGCATAAAATGGGGGAAACGGGGCGGTAACTCATGAGACGACGGGTCGGATCGTCTCACTTATCTGAATACATTATACTCTCTCATTTTTTATTTATGTGACACTATTTTCCTATTAACCTATAGCATTTATAATTAAAAATATTTAACTTTAAACTTCTTAGTTCACTTTTAATGAAAAGCTTTTATTACGAAATAAATGTTATAGCATGTTGACCACAATTTTTATAAAAATTTCTTTCTTTTACTAAACTTCGAGCCAGGTCGAACTACGTCACATAAATTGAAACAGATAAAGTACTTATTTTTATGTATTATAAAAAATAAAATAAGAGGTCGTTTGATCATAGGTGGAGCAATAATTTGAAACTTACAGGTTCAAATTCTAGTCCTACTAAATTACTGATTCTAAATTAGTAATTTGTATATATTCAATAAATTTCTTAAGACAAATACATGATTTGAAGTTTTGAACTAAAGCTATTACGTTTGATCAAACTCGTAATCTAAACTCCAGTTCCACCCCTGCATTTGATTATATTTTTTCAGAATCCAATAATTAATCAAATAATCCTACAATTAATTCCTTGGCTGTAACACTGACATAGATAATAGCTACAATAATACAAACAATAAAATAACACTAATTAAGTAAAAAAACAAATATTTATAAATATTTTTTTATCATCAAGCTTCTATCCAACGGTCATCATTTTAACAAAATCATCAAAGTTGACTTGACCATCACCATCCAAATCTGCTTCTCTAATCATCTGCTCTGCCTCTTCATCTGTTAGTTTTTCCCCTAGGTTAATCATCACGTGCCTCAGCTGCACAGAATCATAAATATATTTTAACTCATTTAAATTATATACACTAACAGTCTAAAGAATATTGTTAACATGTGATTATACGTTAATTACAATTCTTACTAGGTTATTAGTTAATATTTATTAAATGATTTCTTTGTAATTATTACCTTCACGGGGTAGGAGTAAGGTCTACATACTACCACCCCCAAACTTCATTTGTGCTATTATACTAGGATTGTTATTGTTGTTCAATCCGTAAGTACCTTATAAGTAACTTAATTATGTAAATATATATTACTATAAAGTATTTTAATTTACAACTATCCTGGTTTTCCATCCAAAAAACTTATTTAGATTATTAATTATTCCGTTCCAAATTAGTTGTCATGCTTCATTTTTCGAGTCCAGTTATTTGAACTTAACCAATATTTTAAAATATTTTTTTTATCATATTGACATGAGAAGAAAGACAACTCGTAGTACTTTTCGTATAATTTTTTAATATTAAAATTTTAATTTTAAGAATTTTGAGTTGATCTAATCTAATTTAGCTTTAAATATTAATCAAATTGACTCCTAAAACTGGTAAAGTTGCTGCCATGTGACCAGAAGTTACGGGTTCAAGCCGTGGAAACAGCCTTTTGCAGAAATGCAGAGTAAGGCTGCGTACAATAGACCTTTGTGGTCCGGCCCTTTCCCGGACCCCACGCATAGCGGGAGCTTAATATACCCCATTTTTTTTACTCTCGATAAACAAAACATGACAACTAATTTGGGATGGGAGGAGTAATAAATAATACTCCTAAGAAGTCAAAAGGAGCAAGTGCATTGTTCAGTGTGAACTGTGGAAAAATTCATTGCACGACAGATTGGTTTCAAAGAGATAAGCTAATAATTATGTAGGATTTGAAACAGAACAACTGTAAAAATAAGAATATTTTATGATAATGACAGATAAAATTAACATGTGAACTCCTCACCTTCTCCTTAACTAGTTTAACTCCTTTTGCACTAAGCCTTAGCTATTATTTTATGATAAGAAAGATTGTTTTAATATTTATAGTGACAATTTGTTATTCGTAAATATTCCTTTTGATTAAAAAACATTTTCATCTTTTTGACTGGTCTTCAAGAACAATATGAGTACATACCGTACATGATTGACTTCACACAAAAAATTAAGGATTATAAGAGTACTTGAAAAAAATTCTAGTAATTTTCTTTTTTTAAAAAAAGATTCAAACTGGCATAATAAAGGTTAATTTTTCAAAAAAAAAAAAAAAATGGAGGTCGCGCTTTATTCATTTTTTTAAAAGTAAAAATTTAGATTTGAAGGAGGAGCCTTGGAGGAATAGACGAAGATGGTTAGCTGCAAGGTGACTGACAGAAAACAAGTTGTTTTTAGGAGGAAAATGGAATCTATCATTAAGAATCCGGGATGAATCAGTACAGTTATTTCCGTGTGACTTATAGATCACAGGGTCGAGCTATAACATTTGGTATTTATACTTGCGTTGTAGGCTGCGTACATCACATTTTTTGAAGAATCGACCCTTTATCGGACCCTATGTAAACGCGAAATACTTGGCGTACCGAGCTATCCTCTAATGTAAAGCTAGACTTACAAGGACAAAAAAACTCACATCGTTAGCCGAAATGTAACCATTTTGATCTTTGTCAAAAACCTTAAAAGCTTCTTTAAGTTCCTCCTCTGCATCAGTCTCCTAATCATCAAACAACCAAAGAAAAAACAAAAAAAGGATAATAATATTAAACCATTGTTTTAATTAGAAATCAAAACATTAAGTAATTATTTTAGTCCCATTTATATATATTATCTCATTTGTAGATTAAATAATTTTTCGAGGAAGAGGATTCAATTGAACCGCTTCGTTGAACTTAGCTACAATTTGCTTGACATAATTCAGAGGAAAAATATGAATGAAAATTTCGGAAAAAACATATTTGCACCAAGTGTTTATATAATATATATACGATGCATGATATTTGTATACACTTAAATCAATTAACAATTGAAAGTTGATATTGTTAAAACACCGGATGCGAATAAGCTTTTTACTGAATTAAAATAAGAGGTTGAATATGAGGTTTTTACCTTCATTTTCTTGGTGATGAGGTTCAAAAATTCAGTAAATTCAATGATTCCATTCTCATCAGCATCAATTTCACTAATCATATGATACAGCTCTTCCTCTGTTGGATTTTGATCCAATGACCTAATCACAGTTGCCAATTCTTCAATTGTAATGCAGCCTGTACATACAATACATTTTAAAAACACATTGTCAAAGTGTTTACCTTGTAGCTTTTGAGAAACACAATATAATTAAAAAGGTCAGTTCGATACACAAAATATTTTGCGTTCAAGCAGAATCCAGAAAAGGACTGCGCACCCTAGGAAGGTTTGATATAGGCAGCATACCGTGAAACACAATATAAGTGAAAGAAAATAAAATGAAGAAGGAATCATTCAAGAAAAAGAAGACTACTAACCATCTCCATCTTTGTCAAATAGTGTTTCTTCACATTCAATAAGTTGATCTGCTTTTATTATATCTGCCATGATATTATTTCTTGGATTTTTGGACACAGAGCTGGAGGAACAGCTTTTGTGTGTGTGTGTGTGTGAGAGAGAAATATGGGCATAGATGTGTCCTGGCTGGGCTTTAAATAGAGGAAACAGTATTGTCCCTAGAGGGCTTAGTAAACAATCAATTTCATTAAAATTTACAAAATATTACAAGTTAGAAAAAAGAGAGGAGAAAATAAAGGGTTTGACCTAAGACAACTGGATGGTTAGATGAGAAGGGAACAAAGAGCATTAAAAGAGAATAACGCGAACCATCAAAGGATGTGGTGCAGTGGATGAGACTGCTCCTCCCTTAACCAGATGTCTCGAGTTCGAGCCCTGAGTATGGAAAAATCCTTGGTAGGGAGCGCGCTCCCCCCCGAATGGGGTCCTACGCGGCGCGAATCCAGATATAGTCGGATTCCAATGCGGGTACCGGACACCGGGTGGGAAACCAAAAAAAAAAAAAGAGAATAACGGGAGAGAGTATTGTTAGTTGTATATCTTGCCTTAAACCCAAGCATTTTCTTTTTTTCTTTTGACCATTTTAGGTTTACACCCAAATAGCACGCTGCGTTACGTGCAAAAGGATTGCCATTTTTATCTTAAGAGAGTATGCCACATGATTTGCTGCTACTCTCCATTTTTTTTTTTTTTTTTTATAGTTTTTCTTCTTTTGTTTCGATAATTTCATTGTATTTTAACTATGCAAATGATTGATAATTGGATAATATATGCGGACCCCTTTGAAGTCGTCTCGTTTTTTTTTATTACATTCCTTGAGCCGACGAGGGTCTATCAGAAAATACAGATTTTATTATTCTTTTTCCTTATCTTTTAAATTTCACAAGTTAACATATGATCAACAGCGGAATAAAAAGTGCGAAAGACGAAATTCAACAATTTAACTTAATACAAATGCGGTTCCATAAAGTAATCCATCCAGAACTGGCGTCACAATCTCACGGACTATCTAAGAATACTACAAATAGGGTCTGAACAAAGAAAAATACATGTCTGTCTCTGAAATAAGTAAGAACAAAAGGAAATAGGATAGAAGGGGACGCCAAGGCCTGCGGACGTCTGCAGGACTACCTCGGGTCTCCGCTGGACTGAAGGCAGCAACCTCACTATGGTCCAAATGCTCCAGCACCGGGATCTACACATAGTGCAGAGTGTAGTATCAGCGCAACCGACCCCATGTGCTGGTAAGTGTCGAGCCTAACCTCGGCAAAGTAGTGACGAGGCTAGGCCAAGACTACCAAATAAACCTGTGCAGTTAAATCATATACGGCAAATAATGATAATAGAAACTAGCGGTTAAAGATGGAAAGGGGGAACATGCTGCGGGAAATATCAAGTACTAACAGAATTTCAGTAGAGAAGCATAAAGAACACCATAATTTTCATATCAGCAAGAATAAGGAAAACAGTAACAAGTGCACGACATCACCCTTCGTGCTTTTACTCTCGTTCTCAGTATAAGAATCAATATTCACTTCTATTCTTTCTTGTTGCAGCGTGCAACCCGATCCAAATCATATAATGATGTTGCGGTGTGCAACCCGATCCAAATCATATAATGATGTTGCGGCGTGCAACCCGATCCAAATCATATAATGATGTTGCGGCGTGCAACCCGACCCCACCTGTCCACCCTTATTACTCCTTGTTGCGGCGTGCAACCCGATCCCATATAATATTATTGCGGCGTGCAACTCGATCCAAATATATATATCAACACAAAATCACAAAAGAATCCCGGCAAGGGAACAATAGTACAACAACAATATCCCGGCAAAGGAAACAATATCATAAGCAATAATATCCCGGCAAGGGAAATAATATCATAAACAATAACATCCCGGCAAGAAAAACAGTATCATAAACAATAATATCCCGGCAAGGGAAACAACAATATATCTCATCTCGTTTCCACAATCACTTCACAACATAAGTCTCAACTTGAGCCAATGCTCAACAATGGTGAATTACCAAGAATACTTTCATAAGCCTTGTTCAACATTTATAATCATCATATTAAGCATGGACAATACATAACAGAGTCACAACAATCATAGTATAAGACTCACGAGCATGCTTGACACCAACGTATAGATACTCGTCACCACACCTATACGTCGTACTCAACAGTTAACACATAGCAAATAAGACCACAACTCCTATTCCCTCAAGCTAAGGTTAGACCAAACACTTACCTCAATGCCACGAACACAATCAAGCCTCAACTACCGCTTTACCTCTCGATTCCACTTCCAATTCGCTTGTATCTAGTCACAATTTATTTAACAATATCAATAAATGCTAAATAAACCAACTCTAATGCATGGAAATAGGTTTTCTAGTGATTTCCCCAAAAAGTCAAAACTTACCCCGGGCCCACTTGGTCAAAACCCGAAGTTCGAACCAAAACCCGATTGCTCATTCATCCACGAACTCAAATATATAATTTATTTTGAAATAGGACCTCAAATCGAGGTCCAAATCCCCAAATTTTGAAAATCCTAAGTTCTACCCAAAATCACCCAATTTCCCACGAAAAACCCTTGATTTTGAAATAAAATCATGTAAAACGATGTTAAAATAAGTTAGAAATTACTTACCAATAATTTGGAGAAGAATCTTTATTTGAAAAATCGCCCAAGAGAGTTTAGGGTTTGAAAGAGTTTGAAAAATGGATGAAATCCCGTCAAAATCTCATTTAGCAGGTCTCAGATGTCGCAATTGCGAACCCCTTTGGAACCCTGTCATCTTCGCAATTGGGAAGGAAATCATCGCATTTGCGATGGGCAGGCTTCGCAATTCTCACCCAGTGCTCGCATTTGCAAAGAGGGCCTGCTCAGGCAGGGTTCGCATTTGCGACACTAGGGTCGCAATTCCCAACCCTGAGCACCTCGCATTTGCGAGGCCTAATCTCGCAATTGCGAGATCAGAGGCCTGTTACACAGCTGCAACATACCAGCAATTTTTCTAAGTCCAATTTCACTCCGTGGCCTATCCGAAACTAACCCGAGCCCTCGAGGCTCCAAACCAATCATCATGCAAGTCTAAAAACATCATACGGACTTGCTCGTCTGATCAAATCATCAAAATAACATCAACAACTACGAATTCAACCTCAAATTCATAAAATTACTCAAGAACATTGAAATTTCCATTTTCTCAACTAAAGGTCCGATTTATACCAAACGAACTCCGATTCTTACCAAACTTCACAGACTCGACTTAATTATTATTTTAATCTTATTCCGGGCTTCGGAAGCAAAATACGGGCCCGATACCATCAAGAGAATGCATCATTTCACTTCCAAAAGCCTTTATATTTACCAGCAAATAATTTTCCTTAAAAACTCTTTTCTCGGGCTTGGGACCTCGAAATTCGATTTGGGGAATACGCCCAAGTCCCATATTTTACTACGGACCCTACGGGACTGTCCGATCATGGGTCCGGGTCCGTTTACCAAGAATGTTGACCAAAGTCAACTTTAATAAATTTTAAAGGCCAATTTTATTATTTTTCCAACATTTCTCATAAAAGCTTTCCGGAAACGCGCCCGGACTGCGCATGCAAATCAAGGTGAGACTGTCGCGCCCCCTTTTTCCTCCGCAAGGAGAAGTCCGGGTTTCGACATTCACGGGGTGTAATGACTCATTTCCTTTTGGGCAATTGGGTATTTAAAGAGTCGCTACCTAACGATTTAAAGTGCGTTAGGTCACCTAGAGTAATTAACTCTTGGGTTGGTTTGCATTACCAGAGATTAGGGTAAGGGCTCGAAGTAACCTCGAGGGGAAGGTGTTAGGCACCCCTCTTGGTCCACAACTGTGGGTCTCGGTCGAACTTATATTCACAAATTAGTCCATAAACAAACAATTGAAGCGAATGATTGCATAAAGAGCATGTTGGGCGTTGTATAAAATAAGAATTTAAACAGGTTGTAAAAAAAAAAGGAAAAATAAAGTTTCAAGCAAAGAGGGTTTGGGGGAAGAGGGAGTTCCTAGGTTGGTTAGCCTATAGGATCACATCAGTACAATACCCGGTAATCACTCCTTAAAAAGGGGCTACATCTGGCATTAGTGCACCGGTCATCATATCCATGTCTACCCTTCCCATCCCCTTATTGGTCATGCAAAGGGAATGTTGGTCAGCGATCTCTATTGCGTGCTGCTACCCGTCCCTTCTCAATGGTCCTGGAGGTAGTTAGGACTTCTACCTATAGGTGGTTCTAGATGTACCACTAAGGTTTTAAAAGGCGAAAATTCTAAGGCGATAGTCAAAACAATTAGGACTTTCACATAATGGAAGCAATTACGAGGCTCACAGTCCCCTCCCCAAACATAGACACAAGTAGCACGTCTCAAGCACAATTAAGGTCTTTAAAGTCCTAAAGCAGGATCTCTAAGTGAATGTGCAGAAACAGACCAAACTTTATACCCAGAAGTTGTAACCTAGAAGCTACTTAGGGATTCTTTTAAAAGTTATTAGAATCAGAAATATTAAACGGCGGAGAAAGAGCTTCAGGGGAATGCGGTCTTTGAAAACGCCCTAAAGCTTGCCTATATGCAGTACTATGTCTATATTAATGCAGAAAAAACAGGTTTTCGAAATAGACCCTTTTAATACCTATAGGCAGGATATCTAATGAGATTAAAGCAATTACGAAGGGACTGGTTTCAGGAAATGTTGACACTTAATAAGACCAGTTTTAAGAAATAAACTAGGCGAAATGAAATTGATTTATTAGGCTAATTAGATTATCAGACATAGTTGCGAATAGAAATCCCTATAGGCATGGTACCTAGACGTATTACTGGTTTTGGTCAATTTGCAGTAACATGAGGAAAGACTCATTAGAAAGTAATTAAGTCCTATAGGCATGATATCTATACTTGGATTGATTTAAGACATGATGGTTTGGAACCTAGAAACATGGTCTCTAACATGACAAATGCAGAATCTTATGGACATGGTTTCTATCTGATGCAAACAACATTGGAAGTGAAACCTTATAGGCATGATTTCTATTTGATGCAAACGAAATAAGAAATGAGATCTTATAGGCATGATCTCTATTATGCAAAAGCG